CAGGCATAGCACAGTGTTTTCAGAGTTCATCCATATTGCGTCATGTCTCTGCATTTCATTTTTTTATTGCTGAATTGTATCACTGTACTAAATATTGTTTATTTGTTCATAAATTGGTGGACATTTGGATTGGTTTTACTTTTTGTCTGTATAAATAGTGTTGTGAATATTCATGTACAGTTTTTGTGGACATTTTATAGTTTTATAAACTTTTTAAAAGACTTTTATAATTTTAGACCTTATATTTAGCTCTGTAGTCCATTTCGATTTAATTTTTATATATGGTGTGAGGTAAGAATCCAACTCCATTCTTTTGCATGTAGCTATCCAGTTGCCCCAGCACCATTTGTTGAAAATACTATTCTTTTCCCAATTGAATTGTCTTCATAACATTGTCAAAAAGCAATTGATGACATATATAAGGGTTTATTTCTGGACCCAAGATTCTGTTCTATATATATCTACATATCTATTCTTATGGCAGTACCACAATGCATTGATTGCAGTAGCTTTGTATCAACTTCTTTTAAGTATATTTTATTGATTTTTTACAGAGAGGAAGGGAGTGGGACAGAGAGTTAGAAACATCGATGAGAGAGAAACATCGATCAGCTGCCTCCTGCACACCCCCTATTTGGGATGTGCCCGCAACCAAGGTACATGCCCTTGACCGGAATCGAACCTGGGACCCTTGAGTCCGCAGGCCGACGCTCTATCCACTGAGCCACACCAGTTAGGGCTGTATCAACTTTTAACATTAGGAATTATGAGTCCTCCTCTTTGTTTTCTTTTTAAAGATTGTTTTAGCTATTCTGAATCTTTTGCATTTTCTGTGAATTTTAGGATCAGCTTGCCAATTTCTACAAAAAAAGACACCTGGGATTTTGATAGGGGTTGCATTCGGATTGTGGATCAATTTGGGGAATTTTCCAGTCATGAATGTGGGATTTCTTTTAAGACCTTTAATTTCCTTTGACAGTGTTCTATAGTTTTCAGAGTACAGCAGGTCCTCGAATAATATTTTAACTATGTTTCTTTTTTTTAAACATATGTTTTATTGATTTTAGAGAGGAAAGAAGAGGGAGAGAGAGTTAGAAACATCAATGATGAGAGAGAATCATTGATTGGCTGCCTTCTGCATGCCTCCTACTGGGGATCGAGCCCACAATCCGGGTATGTGCCCTTGACCAGAATCGAACCCAGGACCCTTCTATCCACTGAGTAAAACCAGCTAGAGCTAACTATGTTCATTATATCATTGATGAGGAGGGAAAATCTATTCTTTATGGAGTTTTCACATTCTCCCCACGTCTGAGTGGTTTTTTTCTAGGTACTCCATTTTCCTCCCATATTCCAAAGATATGCACAGTAGATTAATTGGCATATCTAAATTGTCCCAGTATGAGTGAGTGTGGGTGAGTGTCTGAGTGCTCCCTGTGATGGAATGGCATTTTGTCCAGGGTTGGTTCCTGTCTTGCACTTTGAGCTACTTGGGTAAACTCCAGCCACCCGTAACTCTGAACTGGAATAAGCAGGTTGAAAAATAATTATCTTCTTTTTATCTGTTTTTCTTAAGTGTGTGTATAGCTCGTTTACTTTAATGTTTATTAAAAGTATTTAAGAGTTTGGTGATGGTTTTATGACTAGAAATATGTAGCAGGAGCTTAACTTTTTAAAAAAAAATTTAAAATAAGTTTTAGAGAGAGGAAGGGAGAGAGAAAAATAAAATCCTAGGTGTCTAGTGTATAGAAATACAATTGGTTTTTCTATATACATATTGTATCCTGAACACTTGCTGAACTCATTTATTGAAAGCTCTAATAGCTTTTTGATGTATTCCTTAGGATTTTCTGTGTACAAAATCATCTCATCTGCAAGTAGAGGTAATTTACCTCTTCCTTTTCAATCAAGTTACTAATTCAATCTCTTTATTTGTTATTGATCTGTTCAGGCATTCTATTTCTTCTCTGTTGGTTTTAGTAATGTCTGTCTATCTAGGAATTTGTCCATTTAATCTGATTTATCTAATTTGTTGGCATACAGTTGTTGGTAGTATCTATATATATGAAAGGCTAATATGCTAAGTGTCCCTCCCACCGTCCAACTGGTCGCTATGATGTGCACTGAGCACCAGGACACTCAACGCAGGAGCTGCCGAGCTGCAGTGACTTGGCAGCGGCAGTTCTCAGGTGACGCACCTCGAAACCAGAGGGGAGGGAGCCCGATTCCTCATGGGGCCACACAGTTCTACCTTCGGCTGTGGGTTATGTTGTTGCTGGGGCATTGTCGGCCCCGAATCTGGTTTACTGCACACTTGCATTTGTGTTCCACACCCTGTACGACAGGAACTTTGCAGAGTGCCCTCTTGCATCCCCCGGGACCCCTTGGGGGATGTCAGAGAGCCAGTTTTGGCCGGTCCCCACAGGCCAGCCCAAAGGACCCCACCTGTGGGAGGGACCCTGCTCACTCCGCAGGTGCGGAAGGGGGTGGGGGGGACCGAGGAAGGTTGGCTCCAGGGCGTGTCCGGCCCTTCTCGCCCAATCCCGCCCCACCAGCCATCTTCTAATTAATTTCCTTTCAATGTGTACGAATCCATGCACCAGGTCACTACTTCCCTTATAATTCATAAGGTATTTATTTCTGTAAGCTATGTAGTGAGGTCTCTTCTTTTTCCCCCTGGTTATTAGTAATTTGAGTTTCTCTTTTTTTCTTGCTTATCTACGGATAGATTGTCAATTTTTTTTATCAGGTCAACCAAGTTTTGGTTTCCTTGATTTTTCTCTATTATTTTTCTATTCTATTTCATTTATTTCCATGCTAGCCTTTATTATTTTTTCTTTCTGTTTGCTTTGAGTTTAGTTGGTTTTCTTTTTCTAGTTTTTTAAGGTGGAAAATCTAGTTATTGATGTGAGATATTTCCTCTTTTTAATATAGGCATTTACATCCATAAGTTTACCAATGGGCTCTGCTTTACCTGCATGCCATCAGTTTTGGTATGTTATGCTTTCATTTTCATTCATCTCTAATATTTTCTAATTCCCCTTGAGATATATTTTTTGACCCATCAGTTATTTAGGAGTACTTTGTTTTATTTCCACATACATGTGAATTTCCCAAATTTTCTTCTTTTACTGATATCTAATTTTATTCCATTGTGATTAGAAAATCCACTATGCATAATTTCAGGACTTTCAAATTTATTGAGGCTTGTTTTATGGTTTACCATGTAGTCTATCTTGAAAGATGTTCCATGTATGCTTGAGAAGAATGTGTTTTCTGTTACTGTTGGATAGTTCTGTAGTTGTCTGTTAGGCCTAGTTGGTTTATACTGTTACTCAAATCTTCTCATTCCTTGTTGATATTTTCTTAGGGTTTTTTTTTTGCCCGTTATTAAAAGTGCGGTCTTGCCCTAACCGGTTTGGCTCAGTGGATAGAGTGTCAGCCTGCGGACTCAAGGGTCCCAGGTTCGATTCCGGTCAAGGGCATGTACCTTGGTTGCGGGCACATCCCCAGTAGAGAGTGTGCAGGAGGCAGCTGATCGATGTTTCTCTCTCATCGATATTTCTAACTCTCTATCCCTCTCCCTTCCTCTCTGTAAAAAAAAAAAAAAAAAAAAAAAAAGTGGGGTATTGATGTCTCCTACACTGTAGAAATGTCTATTTCTGCCTTCAATTCTGTCTTCTTTCATTTCATGTACTTTGAAGCTCTATTGGTAGGTGCATATATATTTTTAATTTTCATATCTTCCTGTTAGATTAACCTTTTAACAGTATGAAATGTTAAATCTAATAAAATTTTTTGTTTTCAAGTCTGATACTAATATAGCCACTTCAGCTCTCTTGGTTACTCTTTGCATGGTATCTTTTTCCATTTCTTTTGCTATCAACTTTATCTGTGTCTTTGAATCAAAAGTGTGTTTGTGGGGACCCTGGCTGGTTTTGCTCAGTGGATAGAGCGTCGGCCTGTGAACTGAAGGGTCCTGGGTTTTATTCCTGTCAAGGGCACATACCTACTAGTATATACCAGTAGGGGGTGTGCAGGAGGCAGCCGATCAATGATTCTCTCTCATCATTGATGTTTCTATCGCTCCTCCTCCCTTCCTCTCTGAAATCAATAAAAAATATGTATTTTAAAAAAATAAAAGTGTGGTGGTGGTGGTGGTGGTGGTGGTTTGCTTGATTATTTGTTTTTTTTTCTAGTGAGTTGGCTGAGCTAATGTTGCAAACTCTGTTCCCCAGGCCCGGGGTGTGTGCCTCTGATCTCCATGCTCATTTTTTTTGAATTTTTTTTCTTTTAGTCTTGCTACCAAGGGTTCTCCATGGGTTGACCTAATCTACTTATTAATAAAAGTTTGTGCTTTATTTCCTTTAACCAGTTAGATTTTTATTGTTTACTGTGGATGTAGCTTGGAGGCAGCTATTATGTTCCGAGTGCTTTTTTGCCCCATGTTCACCCAGAGATTAGTAGCTTGGAGGTTCGCTCTCTGTTTGCTCCAAAGAAGGTATTACCTTGGGCTTGCACAGTCTTCCAGACTGCCATGGATGAGAGTTTTATAATATTTGTGTACACATTTCTTCTGTATGATAAGTACTTTTGAAGAAATGAATCATTTCTCACTCATCTCTATTCTCCTATATTATTTCTAAACCACAATTCCTTTAACTCTGGGATTCAGCCACGTTGTACAACAGGCAACTCTTAAGATGCTTCATCCCCTCACACCTATGTGTCTTTCCTGATATAATTCCTCTTCTTCGTCAAATCTTACTTTCACTCAACTCAATATTACCTTCTTCTTCAAGTTTCTCCAGCCTGAAGTAATCATACCTTTCTTCTGTTCCAATGGCAATTTTGTAATTTTTATAATTTTTTTACTTACAATTACTCATCTCCCTCTACAGATTATAATATTTAAAGTGTTTTCATCTTTTTATTGCCACATACTTTGTACACAGAACATTATTGGATAATAACCGATAAATTAATCTTTTATTTTATAGCCGAGAGACACACAAGATCGCAGTATTTTATGTTGCTGAAGGACAAGAAGATAAACATTCCATTCTCACAAATACAGGAGGAAGTCAAGCATATGAAGATTTTGTAGCTGGTCTTGGTTGGGAGGTACTGTTGTTAAATTACTAGTATACCAAATATTTTATTTCTATTTGGAAGCAGTAGTGGGGTTTTTTCTAGCTTATTTTAGAAGCATTATATTAGGAGACTCAATAACTATACCGTGGGTTTATTATTGTTTCTATCCTATATCTCATCTGCAAAGACAGCAGCAGTTGAGACTTTGAACAGAAATTGTTGACTACTTTATGAGACAGTATATTGTCAGAGAGTATGAAACGCATAGGTTTAGAGATCTGGATTTTCTTCACAGCTACGAATACTAGACTATTAGTCTTCAAACCAAGATATAAATATCCTTGGAACTATACCAAGGCTCTCTAGGGGGCACATCAGCATGTTTAGTTTTAAGGAGATTAGTTTTCAGATAGATTCTCAACTTTACTAAAGTTAATGCCTGAGAACCCTTTTGCAGTCTCTTTCCTCTCCTTTTCTATTCTTTGTTTTGGTAAAAGAAAGGCTTACCACTCACCCACCGAGTCCTGCATTGCCCCAGAAGGTTTAGAACCAAAAAAAGACAGTTCATTCAAGAGATCATGTTCCCAAGAGAGTGTGTTTCTAAAAGCAAAGCAAGAAATATGGAAAGCTAGTGCACTTTAGGTCATTCTGGCTACCAACTCACATCAAGTTTCCTATGTCAAATCTATCTTAGAATTGTAAAACAGTAGTGAGATATTTACCACAGAAACTTATATTAATATGTTTACTTTAATTGAAAAATGAAGTGTCAGACATGTTCTGACAAGAAAGTGAATTTGATGTGGCTGATTGATATGTCATTAAGTTAGTAGCAGACATTTTATAAGTATTCAGCAAAATCTATAGCTCTAAGATTTTGATGAAAATATGTTTAAAGCATGTATATGTAACATACAGTATACTAGAAATTATCTCTTGCATCATTAAACATGATGAAAATTTTCATTGTAGTTGTCAATTTAATATATAGTTTCTTAAAATTCTTGTAGAGAATACATAAGCAAAATTGTTGAAGGCCACTGCATTAGACTGTAAGCTACTAGAAGGCAGACACTTTTACCCCATTTTGTTTTCTTTTTAAATTCCAGTTCTTACACAGTGTCCAATACATAAGCCTTTATCATTCAGTTTATATTTTATGGCTGATCTAACCTGCTATTTCACCCTAAGTTATTTGAGCTCTCTGGGTTTGTTTGCTTATTTGTCAAAGGTAATATACTTTTTTTACCCAACAGATGTGATGTGAAGTCCAACTGAGATTATGTATGTGGAAAGTATAAAGAAACATTGTAAATAGATTTACAGTTTAAAAAATACAAAGCAGAAAAGTATTGGTAATAAGTATTAGTAAAAGAAAAAGGAACAAATTAGTACACAGCAATGCTAATCAAACAGTGTGGTACTTGCATCAAAGATAGACATATCTATCAATTAAACACAATTGAGGTTCCAGAAATAAACCCATATATCTATGGTCAACTGATTTTCAACAAGAGTGCCAAGACCATCTAGTGGAGAAAGAATACTCTTTTTAATGAATAATGCTGGAACACCTGGAAAGCCACATGCAAAAGAATGAAGTTGGATTCTTACCTCTCACACTGTATATAAAATTTAACTCAAATGGATCAAAGACCTGAATGTAAGAGCTAAAACTCTTAGAAGACTGGTTTCAGTTGTTGAATCTAAGTGGTAGATGTAGGAGTGTTCTTTCAACCTTGCTGTATGTTTGAAAAATCTAACAATAAAAAAGAGAAAAAAAAACTCTTAAGCCCCGCCAGTGTAGCTCAGTGGTTGAGTTTCAACCTATGAACCAGGAGGTCAGTTTGATTCCCAGTTGAGCAAATGTCCGGATTCTGGGCTCAATCCCCAGTAGGGGGCTTGCAGGAGGCATTCGATCAGTTATTCTCTCTCATCATTGCTGTTTCTATCTCTCTCTCCCTCTCCCTTTTTCTCTGAAATAAAAAAAAAATGTATTTAAAAAAGAAAACTCTTTGAAGACAAAAATGGGTCAATCTTCATGACCTTGGATTTGGCAAGGGATTCTTTTTTTTTTTTTTTTCAGCTGTATTGAAGTATAATTTATAAATAATGGGAATTTTTAGATATGACACTAAAAACATGAACAGCAAAGGGAAAACAATAAATTGGACTTCATTAAAATTTAAACTTTTGTGCTTCAAAGAGCATTATCAACAAAGTGAAAAGACAACCCACAGAATTGGCAAATATAATAGCAAATCACTTCTAAAATTTGCAAAGAACTTACATAAATTATATATATATATTTTAAATGTATTTTATTGATTTTTTACAGAGAGGAAGGTAGAGGGATAGAGAGTTAGAAACATCGATGAGAGAGAAACATCGATCAGCTGCCTCCTGCACATCTCCTACTGGGGATGTGCCCGCAACCCAGGTACATGCCCTTGACCGGAATCGAACCTGGGACCCTTGAGTCCGCAGGCTGACGCTCTATCCACTGAGCCAAACCGGTTTCGGCGACATAAATTAATAATTAGAAGACAACCCAGTTTAAAAAATGGCCAAAGGACATTTTTCCTAAGAAGATAAACAACCAGTAAGCACATGAAAAAAATGCCTGTTATCATTATCAGAGAAATGCAAATCAAAACCACAGAGATACCACTACTAGGATGACTAGAATCAAATAGTTATAGCAGTAATAATAACTGTAGGCTAGGATTTGGAGCAATCTGAACCCTAAACAAAATATGGTATATCCATATGAAAATATTATTCAGCCATGAAAAGGAACGAAGTACTGACATCTGAAAATATTCAGGCTTCAATCAGAAATTGTACAAAGAACCAGGAAAGTCTCAAACTGAATGAAAAGACAATAGATGCCAAAACCAAGAGGACAAAGATTTTGGTTGGTTGGTTTAGTTAATCCTCACAAAGGATATTTCTCCCATTGCTTTTCAGAGAGTGGAAGTAAGGGAGGGACGGAGGGAGGGAGAGAGAGAGACAGACAGATATCGACTGGTTGCCTCCCATACATGCTCCAATCGGGCAGCAAGTGAACCCGTCACTAAGGTGTACATGTTCTTGATCAGGAATCGAACCAGCAACCCTTCGGTGCATGGGTCAACCCTCTAACCACTGAGCACACCGGCCAGGGAAAAATGACAAAGATTTTAAAGTGACATAATGGAAATGCTTCAACAAGCAATTGGGAACACAGTTGAAACAAATGAAAAAAATAGAAAGTCTTTCAATGTGCACAAATCCGTGCACTGGGGCACTAGTATGTACATAACTATAATAAGCTATCCTAGATAATAAAACCTTAATATGCAAATCGACCGAACGGCAGAACGACCAGTCGCTATGATGTACACTGACCACCAGGGGGCAGATGGTCAATGCAGGAGCTGCCCCCTGGTGGTCAGTGCGCTCCCACGGGGAACACCGCCCAGCCAGAAGCCGGGCTCATGGCTGGCAAGCGCAACGGCAGTGGCGGGAACCTCTCCCGCCTCCGCGGCAGCACTAAGGACCCCTCAGGGGATGGCCCGGACTGCGAGAGTGCACAGCCCCCCCCCCCCCCCCCCCATGCACAAATGTCAAGAACCAGGCCTCTAGTGTACATATAATACCAAGAGCAACCACTAAAAAACATACCAAGAAATACACTTTAAAAATACACTCAAAAATGATAGATAAGCCCTGACCAAGTGTCTCAGTTGTTTGGAGTGTCATCCCATGCACCAAAATGCTGTAGGTTCAATCCTGGGTAGAGGCATGTACGGGAGGCAACCCATTGATGTTTCTCTCTCACATCAATGTTTCTCTCTCTCTCTCTCTCTCTCTCTCTCTCTCTCTCTCTCTCTCTCTCTCTCTCCCTCTCTCCCTCTCTCCCTCTCTCCCCTTCTCCCCCCCCCTCCCTCCCTCTAAGTATATCCTGGGGTGAGGATTTAAAAACAAAAGAAATAAAAATGAAATTCTAGATAATTTTAACCCATAGGAGGCAGGAAAAATAAAAGAGAAACAATAAAACAGAAGACAAAAAATTAAATTACAGGCTTAAGCCCTAACATATCAGTCATTATATAAGTATGCTAAATATGTCTAAATATACCACTTAAAAATTGGCAGACTGGATTAAAAAATCCACATATGCACTAGGAAAAGGAGTATTTCCTAAAATAAAACTAAGGTATAATCCTTACCTAACCTTTGTCCCTCTCAGAAATATGATGGGAATTCCTGCCCTAAGCCTTCCTTCATTAGATATATTACTGTACTCTGGAATTTGAGCAGAAGCTTAAATCTCCAGGCTTTTTAAAGCACAAAATATAAATACAAGCTGGGAAAGTAAACCGAATTTTTCTTACTGTTCCTCACCAACATCCCTCTTCATCTGCAACTCCCCAGAGTGATGAGCACAGATTAGTGGAGGCAGCACAGGTGAGCACTCAGCTGCCTCTCAATTCATTCCTCCTCCCCCTCCTCCTCCTTCTCTCCTCTTTTCCTTCTCTCCTCCTTCGCTTGTTCCTCCTCCTCCTCCCCCAAAGGCTGAAGGCAGGGCCCTTCCAGTCCTCATAACCTGCCCTTTCTGCAGTCCCGGGGATGGAGGCATTGAGCCCCACAATGGGGTGATGCACAGTGCTCATTTTCACTGCCTGGCTTTACTTAGAGGAAATGCAGTTGTCCTCTGTAGAGGTCTGAGAACGTTGACTACAGAGAAGTCTTGCATGCTTTTACTTGGTCAAGTATTTCTCACAAATTTTGTTACCAGAATACCATTCTAATATCTTAACTTGCAGTTGTGTGAAAAACTGTTTTGTAATAAAGTCTGTGTTTATATTTCAAAGAAGAAAAAAGGAAGAAGAAACTCACTTAATATATAAAAATATAGGCTGCTAGAAAGTAAAAGGATGGAAAGTTATATCATGCAAATATTAATCAAAGAAAAATCAGAGTGGCTACAATTAATAATGGGCTTCAGAAACTTACCATAGACAGGGAGAACATTATCTATAATAATAAAAGCATAATATGCTAATTAGACAGGACAGCCAACCGACCTTCCAGATGAAGCCAGGGCTGTGAGGGCTGAGGCAGCTGCCACGGCTGCAAGGGCCAAGCCCCTTGCACGAATTTTGTGCATCGGGCCTCTAGTGCAGTGGTCGGCAAACTGCGGCTCGGCAAACCGCGGCTCGTGAGCCACATGCAGCTCTTTGGCCCCTTGAGTGTGGCTCTTCCACAAAATACCGAGTTCTGCGCATGGGCCACGAAGTTTCAATCGCACTATACGTGCGCGGCCCCACGTGGTATTTTGTGGAAGAGCCATATTCAAGGGGCCAAAGAGCCGCATGTGGCTCATGAGCTGCAGTTTGCTGACCACAGCTCCAGTGTAATGATAAAAGGGTCACTCTACCAAGAAGACATAACAGTCCTGTATGTGCAGTGAACAGCAGAACTGCAAAATATGTGAAGCAAAACTGACAAAACTGAAAGAAGAAATGAACAAATCCACAATTATAGATGGAAACTTCACCACTCTCTCAACAACTAAAAGAAGAACCAGACAGAAAATCAGCAAGTATGTGGAAGAACTCAACACCATCATCAGGAGGGATTAATTGCATTTATACAGCACTCTGCCTGACAACAACAGAATACATATTCTTTTTAAGTTCCCAAAGTAGATCATATGTTGAACCATAAAACAAACTTCAAATTTAAAAGCATTGAAATCATATAATGGGATCAAATTGGAAATCATTAACTGAAAAATCTGCAAACACTTGGCAGGGTTGCATACTCTATAATTTCATTTATGTAACATTCTTGAAATGACAGTTTTGATAGTGAAGAACAGATTAGTTATTGCCAGGGATTAAGGAGGCAGTGGGGTGGGAGTGAATCATATAACAAGGCAACATGATGGATCCTCTCATGATGAAAATGTTGTCTCTTAACTTTATCAATGTCAGCATCCTGGTTGTAATATAGTTTTTCACTGGAGGAATTTGGGTAAAAGGTACATGGGATTTCTTTTATTATTTCTTAAAACTTCATGTGAATTTTCAATGATCTCCAGATAAAAAGGTTATTTTAAAAGAATAGAGATCAGCAAGTGTTACCGAAGTGTTTACAGCAAGGGAACATTAAACTGAGACTTTCTCCTTTACATAATCAGATAATTGACTTGAAAATAACTTTGTCACTTAAAAAAACAAAAAAAAAAAAAAAAAACTACACTAAGATATTATTTTCACCTATCAGATTAGCAAAGATCATAAAGTTTGATAATTTGAAATGGTGTGAGGGAAACAGGTACTCTCATACACTATTGGTGCCATATATGAAAAGCGATTTGGCTAGTGGGTTTCAAAATTAAAAGTGCACATGCCCTTTGACTTACAGTTCCATTTTGGAGTATTTGTCCTACAGATCTACTTTCACAAATGCAGCATGATGTGTTCAGTGTTATTCACTGCAGCATTGACTGTAATGGCAAAAGATTGGAAACAACTTAGAAATCCTTCAAGTAGGGGACTAGTTAAATTATTGTTCATCAAGAAAATGAACTGTGAAGCCATGAAAACAAAAAAATGAGGAAGCTCTTTACTTACTAATGAGTATTTTTCAAGACATTTTAAGTGCAAGAAAAACCAAGTGCAGAACATTGTATATGCGTGCTATGTGTATGTATATACACACATACATAAAAGAATTTAATTGTATATACAGAGAACATTTTTGGAAGGATATGTAAGAAATTGCTTTCTGGGAGAGCTGAGTAGCCAGAGATGAGATATGGAAGGTATATCTTTTGAATTGTTAATTATATGAATGTATTACTGAATCAACCTCATATAGTAATGGTATAAAAATTAGTGGTATGTTCACCCATTAGTAGCTGATACTGATGGTTAAAAGACATTTCTCTTCACAAAGTACAAAGATTCTTTTTTATAATTCTTCACTTTATCAGATATCCAGATTTATTATTAAAAACATATGTATAAGTGGTTTCTCTGAATGGAGAAATTTAAGCAGTGTTTAAAATTTTTTTCACCATTATTTCTTTAATTTTCTATAATGAACTTAAGTTGCTGACTTCCATGCATCACACAGATCCAGGGAATATAATTCCATGCAACGGCCCTGATATTAGCCTTTATTGTATCTAGAATCAGAAAAAAAGATATTTAAAAATCTTTGCACAGATTGATTAAGCATTTGAAGTATGCTTAAGTTCTGCATTTTGATATTCTTATTTGGGGCTAATGATACTTACTAATAATTAGGAAGGCAGTTTTGAGGAGTAAATATGATACACCTAATTAATAATTTTATCAAAGTGGCATTACTGTTTTAACTTTTCCCTAAATCATTTCCAGTCTTGATTTTTGCTACTTGATTTTTACTCTGTTTCCTTGGTGTCCCCCACAGCCTTTACAATTTACCATTAACACCTAGTAGCCTAACTAAAGATTCATAGTACACAGCAGTTCATTTCTTTTCTAATTAACTCCTATTAATTAGGGATCTTCAAATACTTAAGAAAAAATACTAAAGTGAATAGAGCAGCTCTAACTGGTAATTCTGGGTCAAGCATTGATTGATCCCTTTGTTCCCCTTGTTTTTACAAAGTGAAAAGTTTGCTCTTTTTCAACTGAGTTTTTTTTAATTTTGTTTAGTTGATTAATATTGTGTCTCTTCATTGCTTCTAGGTAAATCTTACAAACCATTGTGGTTTCATGGGAGGACTACAAAAAAACAAAAGCACTGGATTGACCACACCATATTTTGCTACCTCTACAATGGAAGTAATTTTTCATGTCTCAACAAGAATGCCTTCTGAGTCTGATGACTCTTTGACCAAAAAAGTAAGTGTTAAAATCCTGGTATTTACTGTTGTGCCCAGATTTCAAAGTTCCCAAGACCTCCAGGGAGCCAGTCAGTCCGATGCAAAAGCAAAGAGTCATTTATTTCAAACCTAGGTTTGGCTCCCCTGCCACACTCACCGATGCAACGGTAAGCTCCAGTGGCCGAGAGAGAGAGAGGCCTGATGGGACAGGGGGTTTTAAAGGGGGGTGGAGTGAGGGCAGGAGAGGGGACTGTGGGCCCCGCCGATTGGCCAGGCGCGAGTCGGTACAGGATGTGGTCATAGTGATGGCGTGCACTTCCCTTGATTATTATTGGTTAGTCCAGAGAAATCCTGGGTGTGGCTAGCAGCGGCTTCTTCCCGTGAGGAAGCACATGGTACCGTCCCAAAATGGAGGACCCAAGGCAAGATGGAGGGCGCACATGGCTCTGTCCCAAGACGGAGGACCCAAGGCAAGATGGAGGGCGCAGTCCTTGCCTGGCTCCTGCTGCTGCAGCTCGAACTCGCCACAAGGCAGGATGGCCCCCCCGCACAGCACCCGCGGCTGGCCTGCGGGCAGACTGGGACTCCAGCGCGTCTGGGCGGCACAGGCCCAGCAAACGGGGTGCGGCCGGTAGAGTGGCCCAGCCCTGGAGGAGTGGCATCCGCTCGGAGCAGGCCTGGCCCGAGCTCGGTGCACTGCAGCATGGCGGCCTCCCCGAGCTAGGGCACGCGCCCCACTCCGCTGCCGCTGCACTGGGCCCGGTCCGGGGGGCAGCGGGCGGGTGGCAGCCCGCGCCGGGCTCCCGCCATGGGCCGGGGAGCCAATGCCCCCCCCCCCCCCATGGGGCCCGGCAGTCGGCCCATGCAGACCCCGGTCCCCCCGACCGGGCCCCAAGGGCCACATGGACCCCCGGCCCCAGCGCAGGCAGGCGGGGAGCCGACCACGGGGGAAGGGAGGAAAGAGCCAGGCAGTGAGGCCTTCCGCTCCCATGACCTCCCCCGTGGTCGGTCGCCGCCCGGCCCCACCCCTCGGCCCGCCGCTGGCCACCACGCAGCCGGTCCGGACACTTGGACCCGCTCCGGGGAGGCCAGGCCCTACGGCGGGCGTGGAGGGATTTCAGAGCCCAGCGGCCAGACTCCTCCTCCCGCACCGCCCGGAGAGGCGGGCGGCGCGCCTTTCATTTACAAAAATTAATATATAAAATATGTAAGTACTAGTAATCTAGTTGATCAAACACTGATTCTGAGTACTCACCCAATACTGTCTTCAGAAACAGTATTGTTATAGAACAAACTCTATTTTCTTTAATGATATGATTGATAGTCTTAACTAAAGATTTGCCTTCAAGAAAATGGAGACCTGACAAATTGAAAAACTTGGGTATACAAAGTTGTGAAATTATATTTCAAGTCCCTTTGTGCGGATAGATATATTTATATTGATTGAAGGAGGGGGGAAAAAGTAAATTATTACAAAAGCACTTAAAATATAACATTCTTTATTATAAATTTTAATTAAAACTAAAATAGCAGATAAAATAAGCCTTAATTAATTTAAATAAATTTTACGAGAGAGATAGTGGAGTAATTTTGATGGCCCACACCTTTTAAAACCTATGACACCATTTTACTGTAGCTGGCACCGTTATTCAAAAATCATTTTAATGACCACAGGGATACCTCAGAGAACAGTTGTGTGTATATGGTTTTGTTAGGAAGAAATACTTTAAAATTAAAATCTTGTCCAACATTTCTTCTCTTTGCCTTCTCCACTTCCTCCATCTTTTCTTCCTCCTCCGTCTTTTCTTCCTCCTCCATTTATTCAAAACTGCTGCATGTAACCAACTTAATATTATAGGTCATTTTACTTGATATTTTGTTGCTTGATATCAAAGCTCTGTACACTTCATTAATAAGCTATGAAAACAGTGCTCTTATCACACTATTAAAAAGGAACTTCAGAACTTTTCTCAAGTATTTTGTAAGATTGATTTAATATCCTTGATGCATTTTGTTTATATTTTAGAATATTGTTGGAAAATGCTTACTAAATGAGTAATGGTTAGTAAAAGTAATATAAGGATGCTAATTAGGTTGAAATGAGTAATAAAGATGAAGATAATTGATAAATGTAGGAAAGCATGTTCAATAGAGGTTTGCTATAGAATTTCTTGGCATGTAGTTTTTAGAAGTACAAAAAGAGCCATGATGGACACAGACAATAGTGTGGTAGGTTTAGGAAGAGGTGTGTAAGTATGAGTATAATACAAAAAGATAAATAATTTTAATCATTAAGAACTTGGCAGTGACTCATATTTATCATCATCATCATTTTTTGGCTCCATGGATACAACTTTATACCCCAAAACAGTCTAAAATTAATAGTACCTTAGATTTCAAGCAGAAGAGCAGAATAAAGTATATCATTTTTTGTTAAAATACTTTTTAAAAATTATGTCAGGATATTTTTACTTAACTATATTAAACCTGATCATTATATGGTACTTAAACTTCGTACCTGTGACCTTTGTAGAAATGTCAAGTAAGATTTATTATTTCATTCAAAACATTCACAATGGTTTGTCTCTATATAAGAAGAATCTGAAATGGATGTTTAACAATCAGGTATCACAACAAAATTAATTTTGGAAATGATAACACCATTTAAGAATTGTTAAACAGTTGACTTATATTTGAAATTATACTTTTAAAAGGTGAAAATTTTAAATATTGGAATTTTGAGTGATTAAACCTTGAACACTAAGAGTTTCATATAAGTATAGGAAGGTGTTTTTTTTAAATATAAAATATATATGCAGCATGAAATTTACCATTTTAACTACTTTAAATGTACAGTCCATTGGCATAAAATTCATTTACTGTTATACACCCATCACTAGTATCCTTTTCCAGAACTTTTTTATTTTCATTTAGTTCAAAGTATTTTTTATTTTCTCTTGAGAATCTTTGACCCATGTGTTATTTAGAAGTGTGTTATTTAATCTCTAAGTATTTTGATATTTTAAATGTCACTGCTTTCACATATATAGTACCTACCATATAAAAGTAAAACCTGTCAACTTAATATTTATTACTCTATATACTGAGTTTTCCTTTTTCCTGTTCTTTATTACTCGTGTCCTTAATCTGCTCTTCAGAGTGCTAGTATGTAAGATTTTTCTAAGTAACAGGCTTATATTTTAGCTCTATTATAGTATCAATTTCTTTTTAATAAAAGGTTAAATGTTTAAATTTAATCATAGAAACCAGTTGTCTTATACCAGTTCCCCTTAATAAAAAATCACTTTCTGTATTGGCATTTTTTCTCCTGAATTTAATAAATTCCACATTAGAGGTAATAAGTTGAGGCCTAGAACATGTGTCCTATTACAAATGAACAATTGGATATCATTAGGTTGTCCCCCTTTCCTTTGTACATATATCTTTAGTGTGTTAATCCATTCAGTAGACACATTAATGAGCACTGGTTGAAGTGTAATATTGGAGGATGTAAGGCTCGTTGACCTCAGCATGGAGTTTAATACCTCTAATTAAATTAGATAGTCGACAGTCAGTATAAAGAAATAGCCATGCCTCTGGCAAGCTAGAATTATTTATGACTCTGGTTCTTTGTTTTAAACTTGAAAGGAGAAACTCATTTATATCTAGTTTACAGAAACTAATTTGAGTTCTCACTTTTTATTTAAAATATGTGGTGATTTTGTACATTATTTTTAAGCATTTTATTTTCTCAGAATAAGAGGTAAATATCTTTGAACATATTTAAATATATCCTTTTATTTCTTGTGATGAGGAGCTTTTTCAAGGCTCAGGACAGTAGGAACAGAATTTTTACAATATAGACTATACTTCTTTTTTTTTAGACTACATTTCTTGAACAAATTAACCAAACATTCAACCTAACAAAGTAGTCTCTCTCAGAAATATTCCACCATATCAAAAATCCTGATATAACCCTAGTTCAAATCATCTGTTCTATAAATTATCTCTACCTGAGAAGGATTGATGGAAAATGGTTAAAAATAATTTCCACTTAACTGAGTTTATTCACCCCTAAAAAAATCAAAAGTGCTGCAAGCATTGGTATAAAGTGTTCACAGGAGCTTGTCTCATTTCCTCTGTCTCCTTGTTCTAGCCACTTGCTGATACTCTGCTTCATAGGTAGCTGAATCATCCTTTTACGAGTTTGATAAAGATCCAGTTCAGATAATTATAACATATTTAGTTGGACTCTCTAGTCTATCTTTCATTTCCTGGATCCCCCCCTCCCCAAAAGAGGGGAAAGAAGCCTTTTATTGATGTCAATTTCTTCTGAAATACTGTTAGTGTAATGGACAGCAATTCATTTTCTTTTTAAAAATTTGGTCACAATAGTTTAGCAAATGAGTGAGCTTTTATAGACCCGTTTGGTCTGATTTTAATATTTCCTATTTTTATTTTATTTGGGAATAAAATTGCAATATACTTTACTTTCCAAAGAACTATATGCTAAATATAGTCTAGAGAATTAGTTCAAAAAAATTTAAGGAATAACAAATTTTTAATTATTTTAGTAAAAGTGTAGTAATATAATAGCTAATAAATGTTATGGAATTATATCCATGGTTTCAGTCCCAAAATATAACAACCTTACATAAAATAATTCTGTTTTAATGTCATAGACTCTATCCTTAACCTCAATTTCTATAAATATACTCCTAATGACAAGAATAGATAGAGAAACCAGAAAATACACATGCTCCAGAGTAAATTTATCTCACTACTGGAAATGATATAATTTGTGTGGTATAGAAATGGTTTCTCATTGCATGTAGAATAAAATTTGAATTCCCCACTATGGCCTTTAATGCCCTACGTGACTTGGCCACCTTCCTGCCTACCCCTCTGGTCTCATCTTTTGCTTTCTTTTCCCTTTACCACATGTGGCCTTACTGGCTGTCATTCTAATCTGCCAGCATGTCAAGTTTGTTCTTATCTCAGGAGTTATGCACTTACTAT